GTTGGATTAACACCTGAGCACACACACAAACATTGTTGGATTAACGCCTCAACACACACAAACATGGTTGGATTAACGCCTCAACACACACAAACATTGTTGGATTAACACCTGAACACACACAAACATTGTTGGATTAACACCTGAGCACACACACAAACATGGTTGGATTAACGACAAACTAAAACATCAGGTCTTCCATGGTCACCTCAACACACACAAACATTGTTTTTTTAGCTAGCTTTAGTAAGAGTTTTTAGTTTTAGTAGAGGTTTTACGGCACTCACAACTGCAAAAGGTCATATGAGCGCCAGAAGATTAGAGGTGTTACAAGAGTGTAACAAACATAAAAAAGATGATGTTACAGAAACAAGACAGACAGACAGACAGACAGACAGACAGACAGACAGAACCAACAGAGGACAAAAAGAAGTAAGACAGACAGACAGACAGACAGACAGACAGACAGACAGACAGACAGAACCAACAGAGGACAAAAAGAAGTAAGACAGACAGATAGACAGACAGACAGAACCAATAGAGGACAAAAAGAAGTAAGACAGACAGACAGACAGACAGACAGACAGACAGACAGACAGACAGACAGACAGACAGACAGACAGACAGACAGACAGACAGACCCATCAGAAGCACCCTCCAGCCACGACTCACCTTCTTGTAGAAGTCGTCGATGATGTTGTAGAAACATGACAGACAGACAGACAGACAGACAGACAGACAGACAGACAGACAGACAGACAGACCCACCAGAAGCACCCTCTAGCCACAACTCACCTTCTTGTAGAAGTCGTCGATGATGTTGTAGAATGCGGCCGCCATGTAGGGCAAGAGTGGCTTCAGTCTCACGTTCTCCGGCTGGTTCTCCACCTCCTCCTGCTGCTTCCTGTCTCTCTCCATCCTCGCTTTCTCCTCCGCCGTCTTCGGCGCTGAAAAAAAAAAAGGCACACAGCAGTCAGTTGTAGTTAGAGTTAGTTTTTCGAAGGTTTTACGACACTCGCAAAGATCCAATCAATGAGTTGAGGGGAGATCAATCCATAATCTTCCAACTTAGAACACAACATGTACCCCTCAACCAACATCTCAACCAAATTGGAGTAAAGCAGTCTGCTGCCTGCCCACTATGTGACTACCCCTCAGAGACAGTGGAACATCATCTGTTCTTCTGTAGAAAACTAACTGATTTGAGGGGATGTTTTCTTCCCAAGCTAACCCACACATCTAATTGCCTCTACTCCTCAAGACATCAATTAGAACAGACATGCAGCATATATTACCGAATGGCATCATGCAGAAGAGTTAACGCTCAGATGCTACTGGATCGCTAACAACAACAACGACGCTCGCAACAGCATGTCATATGAGCGCCATGGGGTGGATGTGAACAGAGAAGTCTAAACGGGAAATCAGGCGTACTCTGTTCCCCTCTCTAGCCTCAACACAGGGCGTCCAGCAATATTTCCCTTAAAAAATGAACTAAATGAAAAACAAAATGTACTACCCAGCAAATCAGGTTCCACACCAGCTCAAAAAACGGAGTTCATTTGAACTATAATTAACATATAAATATTACATATACAGAACGAAAATGACACACAACAAAGTCCAATCGACAAAATGGAGGATAGACAGATGATCACACGCTCGCTTGCCGCCAGATTTAGTATTAGATTTAGTAAGGTTTTTACGGCGCTTGAAACTGCATAAGTAAGGGGGGGGGGGTTCCCTGATGTACTCTTTTTTGTGTGTAAGAGTTTTACGGCACTTGCAACACAATAAGGTCATATAAGTGCCGAAGATTAGAGGCGTTACAAGAGAGTAACAAACACAAAGAAGGAGGGGAGATAAAGACGACAGGGATGTTTGACAGGTAAAAAGAAGGAACAGACCCCACCAGAGCACCCTCCAGCCACCCACTCATGCACTCACCTCCCTTGGGTTGCGGCGGGGTGGTCGGCAGGTAGCGCGCCGGGGGACAGCCAGCGGCCTTTAACTTTTGACCCTCGGCCACCAGGTCCGCCTTGGTCACCATCTTGCCCACGTACTCCTTCTTCACCTGGAGGACGACAACCACGGCAATGTCAAGGTCATGCAACGACCTCAGTTCCTGGGCGACCACCACATTTTCCCACGACACTGAACGTCATACATAACACATGGAACAATCACAGTATGCCAGCCCAGGACAGTTTGATTTAAAAAAAAGTTTTAGTAAGAGTTTTACTTTTTAGTTTTAGTAGAAGTTTTACAGCGCTCACAACTGCATGAGGTCGTATGAGTGCCAAAGGGTGGATGTCAACAGAGAAGTCCTTTCAGGGAATCAGGCTTACTCTGCTCACCTCTCTAGCTTCAACAGCACAAAGTCTGCTTCGACTATCAAGGCACCCCGGAAATAGCAGGTCACAAGACAGTGATAAACATACAAAAGAAGTAGAGGAAAAATGACGATAGTAAGGATTAGGAAAGAAAAAAGCAGCAGTTCCCTGTTGCAGTTCAGGCACAGTTATGAGCATGACATGAGTCAGCCCATTTACAATTCTACTGTGCATGTACGAGAAATGTCCCCCCTTTGGGAATGGCCTAAAGACACTTCAGTCAGTGGCACTGCCCCAGGGGGGGTAAGTAAGAGTTTTACGGCACTTGCAACACAATAAGGTCATATATAAGTGCCGAAGATGTTACAAGAGAGTAACAAACCCAAAAAAGGAGGGGAGATAAGGACAATAGATGTTTGATGGGAAAGAAGGATTAGTTTAGTTTTAGTTTTAGTAGAGGTTTTACGGCGCTCGCAACTGCATAAGGTCATATGAGCGCCAGAAGATTAGCGCGTTACAAGAGAGTAACAAACATAAAAAAGAAGAAGAGGAGATAAGGATAGATGTTTGATAGGAAAGAAGGAGCAAACCACACCAGAGCACCCGCCAACCACCCACTGGGAAAGAAGGAGCAAATCACGCCAGAGCACCCGCCAACCACCCACCCACACATGTAACAATCACATTATACCCGCCCACAACAATTGGAATAATCAAATTCCAGAAGTAACCTTGAAAAAAAAAATGGGGACTTTCTGCTTTCAAGACAATTAAATACTATAAATAGAATTCTGATTTCAACCACCAGATGACCCTCAAAAATAGCCGCTAAGGAGTAAGATCTTCCTTTGACAAAGAGATATGAGGTCTTCAGTCCGTTAAACTGAAAGTGGAAATGACTAGCGTTATTCTCAAGGTCACACATCCTTGTAAACTGCCGCAAGGCTTGTAACTGCAACATGCATAATTTTAGAACTCACGCGAGAGAAAATAATAAGAGCTCAATTTCTTCTTTCTTCTATATGCCGACTTGACATTTTTCCATGTTTCCGTCTCGCGACCTCAGGGCTTTCTTGTCGTGTCTCTATTTTTTTTTTAACAATGAAAATGTGACTTCTTCTTATGCTCACTTTGTTATGAACTGTTTTCATTGGTATTAAAACCAGCCAGGGCAGTGCCACAGACTGAAGTGTCTTTAGGCCATTCCCAAAGGGGGGACATTTCTCATTCATGCACAGTAGAATTGTAAATGGGCTGATCCAACAATGTCACGCTCATAACTGTGCCTGAACTTCAACAGGGAACAGCTGCTTTTTCTTTCCTCATCCTTACTATCGTCATTTTCCTCTACTTCTTTATTATGTTTGTCACACTCTTGTGACCTGCTATTTCCGGGGTGCCTTGATAGTCGAAGCAGACTTTGTGCTGTTGAAGCTAGAGAGGCGAGCAGAATAAGCCTGATTCCCTGAAAGGACTT